GGGTCTGGGACGCAAACCGCGGTTGACTACATGGGAGTCCAGCGACATAGCCATTACGCTAACTGCTAGTCCCTAGCTTGAGCTTTTTAATGTTTATTTATTTAAAGAATTATTTGACTTAACTGTATTTATTTTGCTTATTTTAGTTTGACCAGAGGGGGACAGAGTGACAGAGAGAGAGAGAGAGAGAAAGAGAGAGAGAAAGATGAAAGGAAGCCACCAGGTCCCAGGACTCGAACCACGGTCAACCATGTAAAAGTCCAGCGCCCTTAACCACCATGCCACCTGCCGGCTCGAGTTTTTTTATTTATTTATTTTATTGTTATTTAAGGTTTTTGCCATAGGGTGCATGTGTTCTCAGGAGAGAAACAGAGAGACAGTGAAAGGGAAAGTGAGAAATAACCCCCCCCCACCCAGGGGGAATGGCCACCTGCAATCCCTTCTCCATTCTCCTTCTGGGATTTTGGGCAAGCACATGCGCACACACACACATACTCTCTGTGTGATTTTCAAGCCGCCAGGTCCAGGACTCAAACCACAATCGACCATCTAGGAGTCCAGTACTCTAACCACTACATCACCTGCTGGCCCCCAGCTTCAGGGTTTATTTTGGTTTGTTTTGTTTTCTTTCAGAGGTTTTTGGTATAGGGCGCATGCGTCTGCCAGAAAGACAGAGAGAGAGAGAGAGACAGACAGACAGACAGACAGAAAGCGAGAAATCACCCCCCAGGGGGGATGGCCATGCCGCAATCCCTTCTCCTCCATTCTCCTCTCAGGATCTTGGGCACGCACGCACATGCGCCCAGCATGACTTTAAGCCACCGGGTCTGGGACTCGAACCGCAGTCGACTACATGGGAGTCCAGCGACATAGCCATCACACCAACTGCTGGTCCGCAGCTTGAGGTTTTATAGTAAACAGAAGCACCTATTTTTATCATCTGAAAAAGAACAAAGCTATTTCCACTCCGAGAAGAGAAAAAAAAATAAATAGAGCTACCTTTCATTTTGAGACATAAGGGAATGGCATCTAAGTGGGAGAAAGGGTCTCACACAATGTTTCAGGGTAATTGATTTTGTTTCCTAAAGCTAAATTCTATCTTCCATTAAGTTGGCTGGTGCCGCTCCAATGATTAAAATATTAGGAGATGAACTAGAAAGCTCCTGGGGAAACTTGTATAAAATAAAAATAGAACACATTCGGGGTCAGCAGGTGGCCTGGTGGTTAAGGCGTTGGACTCTCCTGCATGGCTTCCCATGGTTCAAGTCCTGGACCTGGTGGCTTGATAAATCACTCCAGGCAATGTGTATGGGTACCCCAAATCTCAAGAAAATAGAGGAGAAGGGATTGTAGGGTGGCCATCCCCCTTGGAGGAGGATGGGTATGATTTCTCACTTTCCTCCTGTCTCTATTTCGCACAAGCGCTCACCCTATGGCAATATTTTTAAAAAAGAAAATAAAAATGAACATAGTCTAAAGAAACCATTCATTCTAATCTATTATTATTTATTTTTTAATCTAAGAAGCAAGATCTACCTTTCTGTAACTCCCCAGGGCAATGTGGGGGTTCACAAAACAGTGTGACCCCAAATCACCCTGCCCCAGGGGGCCAGTTTTGCTCTGTAAGTGTAAAAGACCCCCCCCCCCCCCACCCCCACCCACAACTC